TAACATGTATCTTGAAATGTAACATGTTTTTGCCTTGCTTTGTATACAGATATGACGTAGGTCAAAGGCTGTGATATTTGGTGATAAGTTGTGAGTTTGACTGCGATGGTACCTCAGTCTTTCATTTGCTGTAAGTACCATTATGTGTTGAAGACTCGGACTGAGTCTGCTTTTATAGGGATGTTTTATTTCTTTATGATTTGATCTTTCTCCTCTTTTCTAGAAAAGGTGATAGTTGCAGTTTGTCACATTTGTTACATAGATATACCATGTTGGTGATCGCTCCAAATTTAGAAAAGGTTTGTTGCACATCAATGAATTTTGTGTCTAGCGGGATGTTCCACACTCTGATACTATTTTTCCTTTTTTATTCTGGTGAAGTGTTTGCCATGTGTATGAGATGTTTATGATCAGTATCAGGTAAGATTGTGTTGTATGCTTCGTCAGCTACCTGTTGATTTCCAAATATAGCAGTGATATGTTTATCTTCATTTTTACCCTCGCTGCAGATTATCATCAAGCCTTCGAGAGAGTTGAGACTTCTTGTCAAGTATGTGATCTTTTGAGTAGATAATTTTCCTGGGATTTCAATAGCTTTTATGCCAACTTTTACTCTTTTTCTGCCGTACTTAGTACTTCTGTCAAATGAGAATCTTGGCCTGGATTTGTGATAAGGATTCAAGTTTTCTTCTAGTCTATTTCATAGGCAGGCAGTTTTCTTATACTCTGTTGTATTCATGGATAGACCTGGTTCAATGTCTTCTTCTATAGGGTATTCTTCTATTTCCGTTTCTTCATTTCTTCCCTGGGGTTCCCTTGTGAAAGTTGCTGCAGTAATTTCAAGTTCCGTTTTCCTTTCTGGACTAAAAGTATCGCTGTGTTTAGACTATTTTGTTGAAAGTTTTCTTCAACTTGTTCGCTCCATTGTGCTTGGGGTTTTGTCGCGGGAAAGCTTGTTTGCTCAGCTTATTTTCCCTTCTCTATGGTGTAATGCATTCTCTTCATATTGTTTTTCTGTTCGTTTGTCTTGTTTTCCACTTGACTGGCTGTTTTTCCCTTGTCTAGGGTTGTTTCCTTTGGGAGCTGTATATTGAATTCTTTGCATGTAACTCTTGTGTTTCCTTTTGCCAAAATGTTTTTATTGTAATTGGGTCTTGTTTGTAAGTGTCTACTTCTCAGTTCTCTTTGTGAACTTATCTCTTCATTCACTTTTTCTTTTCCTTTAAAAATTACTATAAAAGGAAATTTTTAAGAAATCAGTGATCTGTGAGAAAGAGTTTTTTTTTTTTTTTGTATATTATTATTTAATAAATTTATTTCTGCATAATTATCTTTTGTAATTAAGCAAAAATGACAAGGATTGTTTGAATTACTTAATTTATAAGTTAAATAAAAGGATATAGCTTCAGGCCAGTCAGCTATAATTATAGATATTTTTGGAAAAATCAAACAATTTTACTCTCTATTAAAAATTGATTCCATCTTTTATTGAAATTAGTGGCTCAAGTAAGATTTTCAGAGACTTTTGAAATATTTTGTACACAATTTTTTTGAAATTTTGTATTGTTTTTCTATATTTTTTGATTTGATTATTGATAAATATCCTAATAATTATTTTGCATCTGGTTTATTGCACATCCAAGTTCATATATTTTCTAATGAAATATATATTGGATATACTGTAATAAATTTTTTCCCAAAGTATTGCAATTGGTTGCATCAGAATATAAAATTATTGAAAGTAATTTAGAATTCTTCAGAATAGAATTCTCTGCATCTTTTTACTAGTCACAATTATTTTGTTTTTTATATATTCATTCTTTACTATTCTATAAAAAAAATAATTAATAAATAAATAAAATTAAACATTTAACCTAAAATAATTTAATTACTAGATTATTTTGATATAATATTTTAAAGTTTTTTGAAGATTTTTTGAAAATATTTAGAACCTCCAAAATATTTTTAATGCAATTAATAATTGACCAATAATATAAGAAGTATTCTACATTGTTATAAAATAATATACAAGTTTTGAAATAATCTAAATTTGGCTGTTTTATATTATTCATAAATTTATATTCTTGTTGAATATTTTTTGGAAAAGGACTAATTGATAAATTAGACTATTTATTAAAAAAAGAAATTATTTTATTTTCAGTTGAAGTACTAAGATTATTTTTTAGATAATTATTAAATCCACATATTGTTAAAGGTCAAAGAAGTCAAACAAAGTTCAGAATTTTTGCTGTGGTCACGTGATTGATGATTATGACGCGACTGAAGCTTATGTGAAACAATCAATTGCCAACTATAATCATACCCCTTGCAAGCTAGAAGAATGCATGAACAATCCATTCACATCAAAAAGGTAAAAAACTATGGGTTGAGGTAATAGAAAATTAGCTGATCATGAAGCAATTTATGCATGAAATAATACTAGAATAGCCATAGTGATTATGTAATAGTCCTATGTGTAAAAATGTATAAATATAACTTCCTTCAATAACTTAATAAAAGAATGAATCTTAAGATGTATCTTTTGGACAGATTGTTATAATAGTGAAATTATAAGTAGTTTTAGGTAAAACTACCTTGAGACTTGCCCAAATCATTTTACACCTTTGTCTTAATTTTGGTATTGTGTTTTATGTATATAATAGAAGGATGGACTTTTTTATTTGCAGGTTATATAAGCTTTTAGTCATTAGCGACAGACTTGTTGATTAGCCTGCTACAATATGCTTTATTAGAAAATTTATTAAAGGTGTCTTAGAATCTTTTAAAGAATCACAACTATCTAAAGAATCTTCTAAAAAATTAATATCATAAGAATTTTCATTTAAGGAAATATTATTTTCAATAAAGCTAATATACTATAGAGAAATCTAAAACAATTATATATAAATTAATAAATAACATTAAATAAGCAAATAAATATTATTGAATACCTTCAAAATGCGTTTTATATTTTCAAATGATTCTGAAATGGTTGAAAGTTTTACTCTTTTAAATCATTATTAGATTTATTATTGAGTCTACAGTCAATATACATTTGCTTATATGTCTCATATAAGAAGAATGTCTTGAAAATATATGTTGCCAAAATTGTCATTTGTAATGCATTATAAAAACCTTTAAAGAACGTTAAAATGCGTAAAATTGATCAATAAAATATTGATTAATTTTAGTCAATCAAAAATTTAATTTATAAGTTGTTATAATTTTGTCAATATTATTTCAATATTATTTCATTTTTAAAGCTATTAAGTAATTTTTGAAAGGTAATAAAGAATTGTATGTGGTTATAATATGACATAATTTCTTGGAATTTGTATTATATAAGGTCTTTATAAAGTTCTTTCTTTTTTATTAATGTCAAATAAAAGAAAAGAAATGCATAACATGTTTCAATAAATGATTTCAGGTTTGGGCTCTGAAAAATAATAAAGAAGTACTTAGAAGCCCTTCAAAAAGCCCAAGAGTACTCTTGATACCCCAGGTCAAGCTGAAGAACGAAGACCAACATCTTATATCAAAACGGAAACAGAGCTGACCTGGAAGTGATTAAGATACTCTAGTTATTTTCTAGAATCTTCATCTATTAGGAGGTTGCCTGTCAAATCTTTAAGTATATTAAAAAAAGATATAACTATTTAAATAAATACTAATTTGTATATTTAGTTTCTAATATAGTAATCAAAAGACTTTTGGAGTCCCATGAAGGATAATAGACAGTAACAACCTGGTAGCAATAATAGATAAGTTAGAAAGGTTTTTATCTAAAACTTATTTCAGAACAAAATATTATTTCCAAGATTACACTTATAGGCTTAAGCTTATTTGAGATTTAAAAGTTGTTGACAAGTGAGTCAACATGAGATTTAGTTTATTTATGATATAATTGTTCAATGAATCTTTATCAGTTTTCTTAAAGATTAATAAATATATTATACTGGTCTGATAATGAGTTAAAAAAAATTAATAATAAAAATATAATTTAATTGTAAAAAAAATTATTTGCATATAATAAGAAACATATTATTATTATCTTATAAATTAAAAAAAGAATTTTAATTTTATAATTAATTATTTATAAAAATTTATATAGTAAAAATTATATTTTTTACTTTTTTTAATACAATATAAAATTTGTCAATAATAACAATTTTTTTTATTTCAAATTAATGTTTTATAATAAAATATTAATAATTGATAAAACTTTGCTTATATAATTATGATAATCTTATAATAAATATATTAAAGTTTATTTAAATTCAATAATAATTTATTAGATTATAATAAAAAATATACTTTTGCACCAGACTGTGTATATAGTAGTATGAAAAATATAGCTACATATTTATATAAATAGGTTTACTAAAAACTTTGATTATTATATGTATTTAAATACAGTATAATCAAATATTTATACTGAATTTAACCAAAGAAACTTGCGAACTTTATATTCTGAATAACAAATGGAATATCGAAAACGGCACAAGATTGGAAGAATAAAGTTCCTAGTATAAAGAACCAATACGTACCGAGCAAAAATCACAACAAAATGGTACTTATTATACTCCTGCAGTTTGGAATTTTCGTGTGATCAATTAAATAAACAGATGCTAAAAAGATAAGTAATATGTAACTGTACGTAATCACATCAGAATAAAAAAGCGTTTGTATCAGAAATAAGTTTCGCCGTGAATTATTAAAAATATTTTTAAAAAAAACGTATGAAACCTAAGCAATACTCTTACGTCGTTATATACATATGTAATAAGAAAATTTAACATACTGCATTATGAAATTAGCAAAAAATTCGAGTGCGCGTAATGTCAAATAGAAGAGTGCTAACAAAGAAAAGTTTTTTATTTTATAATCAAATACGCTAAACTTCTTAATAATATTCTGACAGATTCAAAGTCTTTTACAGTATATATACATATATAATCTTCCTATAGCTTTTTTTTTGTTTGTTTTGTTTTTTTTTACTTTCAAATATCTAGTTAAACCCGCCAAAAACACGAATGAAGTGTCAGGTCTTATTTAATTTTGACTACCAAACTCCACTTGTTGATTTCTGATCACATTGCAAACTATCTAATTGTTCTTCAAGTTTTAACATTTCATCGTGCTTACTTGAAAGAGATTCTATTTCCTCTTGTGTAAACTTTGATTGCAAAAGTGCCTGACAAGTGTTTACCTGTCCGTACAGTTGTCCTTTTGCAAAATCGTTATCATTTATATTGCTCTGCACAATAATTTGTTTTCGAGTTTGTAAGAAAAGTTCTAAAATTGCCTTCAAATTATCACCTGCTTTATCTTTACAGTTTGTCGTTAACTGATCATATTTTTCTTTTTTCTGCTGAAAATAAGGTGCGAAATCTTTTAATTTAAGCCTCTTGATTTCTTCTTTTAAATGGATGTAGTTAAGTTTACTACCAGGTAACAATATCTTATTTAATTCTTGAAACTGGTAAAGAGTAGGTTTTCTCTTAGTCTCCGTTTGTAAATCCTTTACTTGTTGATCTTTTTCGGCGAGAACTTGTCTCAGATTTTCTACTTCTGCTTCCAATTGTTCCAATTTTTGACCTTCAGCTAGGTAATAGGGTATTTGGCATTGATTTCTTAATTTATCTGCTCTGGGGTTGCCTGATGCATCAATGTATGATAATATTACTCGATCAATTTGGCTTTCTTTGGCGAAAAGCCTGCAATAAGAAGCGTCCCTAAAATTAGCGTAACGTGAATCGATAATTAACCAGCATAACTTGTTATTTTCACTAATATCAATGCTATTTAGATTACTGAATTTGATAGAATTCCCAAAAGTGATTTTCACGAGATTAGGAAATTGTGCTAAGTTTAGATCACCATTAATATTGCCATTGTCATAGACGACGAGGCTCGTGCCCGAAAAGTTAGAATTATTATTGCCAGCCTTGAAATATATATGTTTTGTCTCGGTTTTTTGACTGAGTTGTAATTTATTTAATGTTTCTTGGTTCATGGTGCAGTGTTTTTATTGAAAAAAGTTTCTCTAGGCTTAAACTATACGTATTTGTTGAACGTATTTATACTTCAGGAAATTGGATGTTGTTATGTAGGTTTCGATATTGCGGCAAATAAAAAAAGGGGGCCTGTTTAGACAGACTGATTATAAAACAAACATCCATTTTTAATTTCGCAATAAACAGCGATTCCTGCTGCAAAAGCATATGAAACTATAAATTTGAGGGTGTCCTATACCTTCCGAATGACTACAATGGTTAACGATTCCGATTGTCACCTAATCCATACGACGACAAATCATACATGCATGGCATACAACGTACATAAGTTTTTTTTCACACCAATTCATGCGTGCAGTTATATTAGCTTCTGATAAAGATAATTTTTCACTGCTACATGGGAATTAATATTGGCATCGTACAATACTCTAGTTGCAATAGTTAAACTACAACTAAACCCTAGATTATTTATTACATCATAAAGGCGAAGTGTCATTCTTTTACTTCTACGTATACGTGCCTCTCTAAATTAAGAAACAAAAATCCAACCCATTCAGTATGTGCATATGCAATACATACTTACTTTAAGGTCCGAAGTGACAGTAGTTGTGCCGCTATTTGTGAACAATGCCAAATTATGTAAGCAATCTGCTTGCATATAATCTGTTGAAAGTAGCATCTTAAAACATCATGACAACCTTATATACAAAGATACTGGAAACCTATTTTACTCTGGACGCAATGCTGATATGATTGTCTTGGCTGGCGAGGACACAAAGAATTTCATTGTTATTAAGTGCACGATCATCTTATTTCAAAGCTGTTTTATCAAACGATTGGGCAAAGAAAGCAAATTGATTTACGTAATGCTGATGTGATAGTCCAGGCGAGGATGAAAATTACAAAGAATTTCGCGTACACTTATTTTTATCGTGAACACAATCTTATTTTAAATCTGCCTTATCAAATAACTGAGAAAAGAAAGAAAATAAAAATTTTTTATTTTTAAAAAATCAAATATTATGCAACAACTTCATGTTCATATTACTGTAATATAGTATCCAAAAATTTTTTATACGCGTGTTTTAATGAATTTGAAAATAAAAGGTATCTATGCTGTTAACCCTCGATAAAAAAAAACCACGTACAAATAGTCTACTGTATATTAGTTGGTGATCTAAATATTCACGAAAATTCACCGAATTTCGAAAAATCAGAAAAAAAATTTTAGGCGTAAAAAGCTGTTACATATTAAACCTTTTAATAATATTAATAATATCTATTTTTGCGTATTAAGTAAATATAATCTATATACATGTAGAATTGTTGATCTTACTATGTATAGTAATTCTGATTTAATTTTATTTTAATTGGTGGCTCAGCCTTGTTTTATGCAGTATCAATACATAGAGAGCTACCTTAGGATGTATTACCTGTTTACTATCAAATAAAATTCAATAGAGTTTTTCTTTTATAAAAGATGTTCATCTTGTGGCTTGTTATTACTCCTTTATAGAAAGTTAATTTATTAAAGTTGACCTAATGTTAAAAGAAATTTAAATATGTAGAAATTGTTTATTATATTGTAATTCAGTGATTAATAAAATAATTGATTAGATGTAAGGATTGATTTTTTATATATCTTTTTGAGAATAAAGATAAGTTCTCTTTTTTAGTTTTATACCTTATCAATTTTTTTTCTGTAATTTCTATTTTGACTTTTTATTCTTGAAATATTTCATATATTTTTTGTCAAATTTGATATAAATACTTTATAGTTTTGATACAAATTACTATTATACAACTTCTATTAGCTGTTCTACTTAATATAAATAATTTAATGTTATAGATTGACATTATTTTAATTCTATTATAATATATTTTTTAAAATTTTATTTTATTGCATATATAATCTAAATTATGAATTTATATAAATTAAAAGTTTTATTGATTTTAGATTATATTTATATATTTAAGAAAAATTTTTTGATTTAAGTTTAAAACAGTCTTATTTTTAAAATAAATATTTTATGAAAATATAATCAATTAATTTTATTTATTATATTATAAAATATTTATTTATTAAATTTATAAATTAAATTGTTATATTTATATAATATATTACTTTTACATATTAACTTATCTATTTATAAGTATATTTTATTTAGATATAACTTAGAAAATAATATTTTACTTTTTTTATAGCTTAAATAATTTTTAATTAATAGACCTGTGGGTCTATAGCACAGTGGTAGTGCTCCCAGATCACAATTACAAGGTCCAAAGTTCAATACCACACAAGGGCCAAGTGAAATTCAGCCATCGGTGACACAAAGATATCATTTACCCCATGGTGACGATCTGGTACCTCAGTATGGCCATAACAAGAAATCGACTGCTTATCATGCCTATAACAAGAATGAAAATCAACCCAGTGCGCAAGCTAACCATCAAAAAATGTTCCAAACAAGGCAAGGCTAAGTAATACGACATCCCTGATCAATACTGATCTCCTATCTGAGTGGCAAAGTTGGGTAGTAAGGTGTTCCGGTGTTTAAGAAAAATACAAGACAGGTTCCTCAAAAGAGGCAAAGATGGGTTGCTACAAGAAGACAGATAATAACAAAAAAACAAAACAGGTTTCTCATAAAAATGTATGCACTAACAGGAGTCATAAAGATCCTATATAAGAGACCCTTGACACCGGTGGTGCTAGGCATCTTAGGCAAGTTCTTGACCTATCGCTTAATTAGTATAGATAAAATTTTGATACTCCTTTTTACTCAAATATTCTCATCCTATACAAAGAACTTTGTCTCTATAGTGTATATAGTCTTAAAATTTATTTGTAGATATCTTGGCAGGATAAAAGGGCACCGCACTTTCTAAATTCGTCGTGCTGGTAAAGATCAGATATACAGGTCTTTGATAACTGTGCTTGTACAATAAAAATCGTTGTTAGGCTTAGTTGAGGACTTAATTTGTATATACCGTATATATTTTAAAAAAATTTATATAAGGTATTACTTTGATGCAAAATGTACTTTCTATAGATTATGATCAAGTTAATGATTTTTTAATTTTCTTGAATATTACTTTTAAATGTGGAAAACAAAATTCTCGTGAAAAAGAGAATTGCGACAATAATGCTGAATTTAAAATGCAAAATATTCGGATTCTTTAAATCCCAAATTTTTCAAAACAGGGATACATGTGGATTCCAACATCTGCGGTGGTCCACACATTAACACGATGGTTTTCGAGTCTTCATCTGGGGATGGCAGTCGTTCCCTAATCATCGCTTCTGTAACGTGTCCTATCCCGTAGATCCACTTATTCTTTTTGGGTATTTCACTCACCGTATAATACACCTTGAGCCTCTTTCCTTCACATCTCGCCAATTCGTCCAACTCCTTACGCAACAGAATATCTTCCTCGGTTCGATTCGCATAGATCAAAGATAATTCGGTAAGATCATTGGCATCGTGTAATACAGATTGGATTATTTGGAAGACAGGTGTGATGCCCGACCCTCCGGCTATCATTCCCATGCGACGACAGTTGCACAAAGAAATGGTGAGGCCACGTTTTACTTGGTATCGACCCTGACCGTAGTAAACGAACGACCCAATAGGTCCCTTCACTTCAATACAATCTCCGATATTCAAAGATTCCAAGTGTTGGGTCATTAGGCCACCGTCTGGGAAGTTTGGATTAACATTGCAAAAGTAGACTTTGATCAACAGATCGAAGTAACCGGGTGGATCAAAGGGGGTCGTGATCGGCGTATAGGCACGTATGACAGGTTTTCCGCCCACAGTGGCTCGAAGGAGAACATGATTTCCAGAAGGTAAGCCGAATTTATGGTTTTGAGTTCCCAGAGAGAACCTGAAAATACGAGTATCGTGACTGATAATTTTCTTTTGAATGAGTGGGCAACTTAACCAAATTTTAGGGTTCAGCGCAATTGATGATTCAGTTATTGACGATCGTTTGGTGGTGGACGCGGTTGTGTTAACGGGTGCTACGGTTTCGAATAGGTCACCGATGTAGTAATCGTCAAGCATACAATGCGCCTTGGAAGAGTGAATAGAATTGAATTCGTCTGTACAATCGGCTCCAGCATTGATCAGAATACTATCGGCACCTATTGTGAATTCGCGATATGAGATGAATATCAATGGAAGGTTGATATTAGAAAAATGGCAATTCAACATACCACCAGGGTGCACTTTAAGAAATTTCGTGCAGTCATAGACTTTCTTCTCCACGACGATCCAAGCATCATTCGCGTTATCATGTTTCGCAACTTGCTCGATGGAATACTGAGGCTTTTCGCTAATCGCTACATTCGTTGAGGTTTTTACCGGTACGATCGTATCAGGTTTGACCATCCATCCACCATTATTATTACCGGCCTGTGTTGGATGCTCAAACGTCAGTGTAATTTCACGCTCCTGTTCCATAGCGTTCACCTTCACTCGGAAATGACAATTATTCATCATCCCCGTGACATTCCATGTTGGGTCGTTTGGTTGGGTATTTTGAGATGCATCCCAAGCTCGCACGCGAATCTCCTTACATCTCACGAGACGAATTATGGACACTGGGATTGACCAAAAGATCCAACACCAATACTTTCTGGCTGAGCGATTGAGGACTGATGGGTGTGAATCCTCGGAACACGTTAGACTTGCAAGTAACCATGATTTTCCGTCGTCCAGTGACACCTCGACTCTCGTTAATTTACGACCTCCGCCCGTGTACGCGTACCCTTTAATTATATATTCCGAGGTACTGACAAAGCTCGACAAGGAAATTCGCTCACCGTGTGCCGGCGAGGTAATAACGGAATTGATGTTAAGTTCGTTAATCAGATAATCCGGATTGTACCATATTTTTTCATTGTTGGCACGTTCCGCATCGTATTCCGGAGGGAGAACACGATTGTCATGAAAATGATAATAATTATCGGATTCTCTATTGGTCACGGTGATCTTTGTAAGCCATTTGACCATACGCCCTCCGATGCATCCGGGGATGATCACCCGAACGGGATATCCATGATCTGGTGTCAACTTTTCGCCATTCATCTCATAGGCCAACAGCACATCATTCGCGCTATTAATAGCCCGCTCAATAGTGATGCTCGTACCATAAGAGCCATTCGGTAGTTTATCGGCGCCCAAGAAACAAACATAACGAGCTTCATCGAGGTCAACGCCGGCTAATTTCAGCACGTGACACAGCGGCACTCCTTTCCACAACGCAGTGCTGCATGCCGCGGAACCCCAGTTGAATCCGATGGTTTGTTTGATCATGTTTTGCTCTTTTCTTCTATTCCCAGCGCACACCATGGTCATCGGAAATTCCCTGTACGGAAACTGTACTACGTTGGCCATAGAGAGGTTCAATGGCTCTTTCACGAGTCTATGCGAGAAAACGGGCGTATTAGGTAAATATCACGTGTACATTAATTGATATTTTTGGATGTGAAAAAATTTTCACAACTATTTTATAAATTAATGGAATTTCATGGATCGCAAAAGTTTTTTAAAAGTAAAGTGGAATCGAAGAAACGACTCACCCGTCAACAACCACACGATGTGTATCCCAATGAAGTTTGGGTACCGGACCATGATTCCTTACGTAATGTAGTGGTGTGGGGGTAATGAAACTTTGCATCAGCATCGGCAATGGTGGTTCACAATTTAATGGATGTTTTCCCGTCAATCTAATTAGCTCCTTATGACGGGGAATCCAACTGTCGGGAGTATTGAGATCTCTAGGATCCATGACTATTCCCTCGGGAATGTGAGGACCGTTTTTCGGAGATATTTGTCTTTCACCTTCCTTTGTCGGCGTTGATGGAGGCGATATGTATGTGGTGAGAGTGGTGGGACCATTTTCATATTCACTGGTGAGTTGAAAGAGGTCAGACTGAGTTCGTTGTGTTAGGGGTTTCATCTTAGATTTTCTTCGTGGAAAGATGTTTATTATAGGGATATCGCAAGAAAAGAATGAAAAGTGTTGGGGAAAAAAAGGAAAAGGAAAAAAAGAAAGAAAGATTAATGTTTGTGGTTTATGTATTGAAACGATCAATTGTGATCCAGGAAAAATCACATGTAAAACATGATCGTTGTAAATAATCCCTTTAGAGTATGTAGGAAAAAAGTTTATTGCGATATGAACGAAGTGGATCAGATAACTAAAAAAAATCATGTAATTGGTAAAAACGATGTGCGCACGAAGATATCTGATTTGTTTAATAGTCAAAACCTACAAATTATCACGTGATATTCGTTTAGATACTGTACGAGATCCATTTGGAAGAGCGATTCTTATAAACGATCCGATAAGACAACGCTATCTATATTGTGCATACATGCTAATCGTGAACCCGAGTGACTGCATGTTTATTGGAAGGGCCAGATGAAATCTAAAAAAGAATTCCGGGGAGGATATCACGAAGGGATATCCAATCGTGAGATGAGAGAGTTAAAAAATGATATTGAAAAGGAAAGTTGGTCGTATGGAACCGAAAATCTCGAATAATGGTGGTACTCGCTTTCTAAAGATTCGTATCCTCATTTAATTAATCGAGGCATGCCTTTTATTTTCCGGAAGCAATTGGTTCACGATTTCCCGTGCCACTAAACAAAAAAAAAAAACAACGTTTTGCCGTAGGACTGCAAACATGCGAGATGCTTATGCATTCACTTTATTGCGAAAAGATAAATCAAATTCAGGTTATCGTCGAATGGGCCTTGCGTTCGACTCACGGTTTAACAACAAAGTAATTCGGTGTAATGGTAGTTTTTCAATGGAAAAGGATGGTCTACCGCATTTTTGAAAACATTAATTGCATTATTGGCATCGTACGGTACAACTGTGAACTGTCAATTCATCTATTGTAAACACTGCACTTATACTGGGTAAATTCCGATCATATAAAAAGTTTTTTTTTATTTTATTATATTACATAGTGACATCTAATTAAGTTGTGGTGACAAGTAGAAACACTGATGTGACAGGGTGATATTCAAAACAATTATAATATAGGGCGATACGTTACACCTTGTGTATAGTAATTTAACGGATCCAAACATAGCATCAAAATAAATAAACAAATAATTTATTTTCTTTACTCCAATATAAAAAAAAATTTTTTATTTTTAATTTGTACTTTATTGGATCGACATGGTGACCTGATTAGGGTTTAAAAAAATTTTTTTATTAAAAAAATTGTATTTAGAAAAAATTAAAAACGAATTTTTAAAAAATTAAATATCTTAATATTTTCTTTAAAACTAATTAAAGAATATTTTTAAAAATCATTTATATCTTTTTTTCTTATTTACAAATTCCTTTAATCAAAAATTTGACTTCCAATGATCAAAACTAATTATAAAGTACTTTGAAATTTTTTTGTATTTAAAATAAATTATTATAAAGATTTTTTTTTTCTCTTATTAATTATCTATATTTTTAAAATTTTTTTGTTTTTAGAATTTTTCAAAAATTTTACTTATTTTAATTTGATTTTTAATTTTGAATAATACAATAATTATTAAAAATAATTGATTAATATATTAATTTTTAAAGTATAAACAAAACTTTTATTAATTATACAGTAAATATATATTTCGATAATATTATTAGTAATAAGAAAAAAAAATTCATAAAAATATATTTTTTTTTCAATTAAATAAATTTTTAAAATTAATATTATTATTTTAATTAAAAACATAAATTTAAGTTTTATAGATAAAAGATATAAAATAAAATCTTCAATTTTAAAATTTCAATATAATAAGTTTTTTTTATAATATGCAATTCTAGTAAACAATAGATAAGTTTCTTAAATAATTTTAAGTTGAAAAATATTTCAATCAGATAAATCTTTTTTGAAAAAAAATTGTTTACTTGAATAAAAAAATTTTAAAAAATATTAAATTGTTGATATTTTTTTTAATATATTAACTTAATAATTTATTATTTTTTGAAATAACTTATAATAATAAATTGATGATAATAAAATGATCTTAATATTAATTTATTAGAAAAATAAAATATTATCTTTTAAATTTAACTTAAAAATTTAATTAAAACTTTATTTTGTTTAATTTAAATTGATTTAATAAACTTTTTATATTTTTTAAATAATATGATTTTTTATTAATAATATATAAAAATAAATTGATCTATAAATTAATAATACAATAATAATATTTTCAGGTTATCAAATATTGTTTCTAAGTAATATTACTATAAAGTAATATTATTTAAAACTTAAATAATATAAGAAATTAACAATAATAATTTAATTATTTTTAATTAAAATCTTATCTGATTATAAAAAATTTAAAGATTTTTAAAAAAAAACTCTTTCCGCTGATCCTTATTTTTTTCAAAAAAATTTCTTTTTTTAGTAATTTTCTTGGAAAAAGTGAACCAGTTAAAACAAACAAGGAAAAACAGCATATCCTTTAAATCAAGCTACCAGGCACTTTCAATATACAGTACATACAACAAGTTATCTAAAACTATCAAGAAAAGAGATATACACTGCTTTACTAACTTTCTTTTACTTCTTTTTCTTAAAATTTTAGGAGAAAGAAAAGAAACATATAAACTGATTCACAGTTAGAAAAAGGAAACCAATATCAACTTCACATAGCTCACAGCCAGGCCAGTACAGGTTAACACCTTTCTTGACACTGTAAGGAACCCAAAAAGCAACTAAGCTGACTCAATAAATCAAGTTGCTCCAATTACTTAAAGGTCCAGAAGGATATCAAAGCTCCCTAAAGATAAGACAGTCTAAACATACATATACACATAAACAACATACCTATTCCTGATCTGGTTACATGAATACAAATACGTAAAAGCCAGACAAGCAAAACAAACATACACGTAAAACTGACAAGTAAAACACACATGTACATATACAACTTGTTATTCAAACAAGTTGATCGACACTTTATACAAGTACAACAACAATTGTCAAAGTAGGATAGGATCATCAATATAAATAAATAAATACATCAAAACAACAAACAAGGTTTTTCTGTATTATCTAATCGAAATACATAAACAACAACAAGTTCAAAAAGGTTTATCCGTGACCTAAAAATAGATTATTGATAAATATAAACAAGCATTCACATGACTTATCAATAGACCTGAGCCAGTAAACATAAATAGAGCACAACATATATTACAAATAATCAATAAGAGAGAAAAAAATATAATAAATACTCTAATCAACCTTTTAAGAAAATATGACGAATACTCCACCCTATGGGCTTCACAACAATTACTACAACTAAGAAATAGTGAACCCAATGGATTGACAGCTCCACACCAGAAACATATATAATTTTAGATAGCATTATAGCTAATATATTAGGAGTTAATGTGACAACTTTTTACAAGAAAAGAATTTTAACTTGGCATATCACATATCTCTGGCAATAAGGCAAAGGGATAAAAGAAGATCTTTTACAATCCTATATCGAAGACAAGTTCTTGGAAATAATCAAAAACCCTGTAAACTTTACAAAACCAATGTAACAACTAATGGAGATTATCGAACAAGTAGATAATGAATAAATAGTAGATAATGAAGTAACAATGACATGTACACAGGAGACAGAAGAGCTTGAATTACAGGAACTCCAAGAAACAGTTAAACAACAATGTATTAGTAAATACAGCTCTTATACTACTAGGAATAGAGACATGGCACCATCAATAAATCCGTACTTCATAAAAAAGAAAGGAAACTAT